ATATATCTTTTGGCTTGTCCACCAAGCAACGAATTTGAGGCGTATGCGACACCCAAAGAAGAAAGATCGACGCAATCGATTAATCGGAAGCCCATCCATTGTCCAGACGGAAGAGAATATTATATTATATTATATTATGGATGAATTTTCCAAAAAAAAACTTAATTTTGATTATTATTATTTTTACACAACACTTCTACTATAAAATATATATATATATTCGGACAGCGCCCTCAACAACTAAGAGATTCATTTCCTATCCCAAATACTACCCTTTGGATCGTCGGTTCATTAAATGATTCGATATTGGTTCAGTTTGCCCATCTGATTCATTGGTGTTAACATTGTTATATATATATATATATATCTCTTTTGTTTTAGAAAAAAAATCTTTTATTATATTATATTCTCGTAATGCATGTGAGAGTAGTAGATTTGGTTTGAGCTTGAATGATGAGTAGGATAAAATATTACGAATCTACATCCCATACAAGTCCAACAAGTAGATTGGTTGTGTTTAGTATGTTTTTCTAAAGTTGCTTGCTCATGTTTGGTAAATATGTGGTGAGGAATTGATTTCAAACGTTGGACATGACCATGATGGATAGTAAAGTAAGAAGGGAAGAAATTAATTTTAGGTACTTCAATAATGAAAATTCCACATCATGTGTGTGACTCATACGTCAACATATAAAACTGGGATATTTTATCTATAATTTCATTAAATGACATCATGGTAATGAAATTTTCATATGTCTAAGAGTACTTTCCAACAATCATATCCAGAAATGATGCATTCGAAACGTACATGTGTGAGAAATAATTGGATACACCATTGAAATTGGGGAATTAAAGTTTCAGATGGCAAAGACTCCAAAATGTTGCATTAATACCCAAAAGTTACATGTTAAGATCTCTACATTATAACATGCACAACTAAATAGAATGGCTATCCTGTTCAATGGGATTAATGGCTATGATATAGGAAGATAGAGAAACCTTAATCAGAAAGAATTAATGAAGAGATGGGAAACCTATCTGACCTGACACAATAGCTAAGAGCTGACTATGATATTGATCATATAAAATAAATGCCACTCAACTGGTTGTAGGAAATGCACTCCTCAGTCCTTTCAGTCCCATAGCAGAATTCAATGAGGAAAAACACATCTAGGAAGATGCTTCATGTAATCTTAAGGATCTACATTACTTTAGCTCAGAGGAAAAAGTTTTCACATTGCAAAACCATAAACAAAAAGTCAGGAAAAGAACCTGCTATCTGAAATTTTCTCCAGTGAGATTTTCAAGGAGACAACCAATCAGAAATCAAACAATATCAAAACTGAACGTTTTAAAATCAATATCAGATGTTGTATATGGATCATTCTGAAGTTTTACTACCAAAATCCAACAAAACAAAGGTAAATTAGATAAAGACATGAGAGATTACATCAGAAAAGTGAAGTGCACTGGCCAACCTGAGAGAAAGAGAGCTTCATTATTTTGTTTTTCCATCAAATTACTGGACTCATGTTTATATATATATAATCAACCCTAAACAAAAATGGAAATAAGAAAAAATAATGGAACAGAGGTGGTGGGAAGGCAACCTGTCCGTACGGATGCCAAAACTCAACGCTGGCGAGGAACAGGTGTGCATCGAACCCGTTTTCTACTTCTGTTCGTTTTTATTTTCCAAACTGAACTCCTATGGCTCACAACTTCTGATTTAATAATGTGGCATCCCGCATAAGTCTTGCGCCACCTACAACATCTTATAACACAGTTTGCTTGAAATCATCTAATCTCAAATGTAAGTCAACTAAACTCGTTATAATTTCTAAAAAACCTAAGAAAGAGCTGAAAAACACTACTCCTAAAGTGAAGACTTCAAGGATCAAATCTGACGCCAAGTTATTTCCTGCTACAGATCTGAATATCCAAAGCAATCCATCAGTCACTTCCAATGCACATTGCTAATTCTCGAACTATGATAAAAAGCTTACTTTCCCAGGATAAGGACCAAGAGTCCATCTAGAACTGTCAGGTGGAGAAATGCCAGAGACCTTCCTGACTTAGATAGTTGTTCTTAATATCAAGTCATCCAGATATCTCTCTGACACATACTGAATGTGGACATTGCACCTTCCATCCTGCTTAGGGGTGAATGTTTTTGGCTTGACTATGTGGATAGCATTTCTATCAAATAACAGGGCATATAACCATAGTGCATAAAACTGTTTTTTAAATCTTGTCCATCTGAAGAATCAAAGAGCAGTAATTTTTTACAATATTCTTTTCCCTGAATTCACCCCAAGCGAATAGGCTTGGGACAGAGTTGCCTAGGCAATTCAGGCCTTGGCAACGAGTTCAGGAGATACCAAATTCAGCTGGAGAAGGGAAGAGAGAGAAAGAGAGAGAGATGAGAATGTTGACAAGGAGAAGAGAGGAGAGGAGAGGAGAGAAGAGAAACAAGATGTAGAGAAGGGAAAAGAGAGAGAAAGTAGAGAGAAGAGACTTGAGAGGATAAAGACAACAATTTTTACTCCAAGATCATTCTGTTATGAATTACATTAAAAAAGCCTCTATTTATAGGCTCAAGTAACATTCTAATATAACTTAGACCTAACTCCATCAAGTAATTACTTCTAATACCAACACAACCTATAATTCCAACTAAGCAAACACAAGTTCCAAAATTACAATCAACAGTTCAAACCATGGATTCAAATCTCAACCATACTGGTCAGTGCGTTCAGTTTTTTATAAGTCCAACGATTGAATGATTTGTGGATTGGGCAATTTCACCCAGTTTGATCCATATCAGACATATTGCTGGTAAATTCATGACGGCAGGTTTACCGGTGGTACACTTAGTGGTACACATGCCCATGACCTATACTCATCCTACCTCTCCATTTCTTTTTTAATTTCTTAATTTTCTTCTCTTTTTCTTCATTTTCTTCTGTCTCACAAGTCACAAGCCATGTCATCACCTCCCAAGTGCCATCACTCCTCATTCTCTACATGTTCCATCTCCTTTTGCATGGGAATGTCCTAAAGTTTGCTCACTCTACATTGTAACCACTCAGGACCTACCTAGTACTGATTAGCCTACATACTATACAGTAACAATACAAGTACCTATTTGGCCACTGGACCAAGACTTTAATCAATGATTATGATTTAAAATACTAATCCACCAGTACGTACCAATTGATATTTATAGGTTAAGAATGTCAATTGTTTAAATACCAAGTGATAAATTATGCAATGAACATTTACAAGGATATTAGGGTATGGAAATTATTCAACCCTAACACCTGATAAAATAATTAAACCTGAGCAGAGAACATGTTAAGAATCAAATCAAAAGGTCAGTACTCTCTTCAAGAGAATCAATATTGGATGCAGAACAGGTCATTCAGATAAGTATAACTCCACACCCTAACATAAAGTGAAAAGATTAGGCAATCCTCTACATCTTCAAGGAGAACCAGTGGATACAAAGCAACTAGGGAGACACAAGAGTGAAAAGCATGTTGATGCTTTCTCGGGCTTGACACATGTAGAAGGAAATTATAACATTTCCTCAAGGTCAGTTTCTAGAAGAGGTACTCAAGCGATGATCACATACGATTCATAACACCATGTAAGAAAAATGTAATAAAGTTCAATCAATAAACTGGAACAAGGTTCCTCAGAATCTATTGTGATTGCAAGAACTCGATGCTATGAATTTAGGCAGTCTTGAACAGATTAGATGTAACAATTATCTTCTGGTCACGTCTGATAGCATTGCAAGTCCATCAGAAATAGGATAAAAGGAAAGGGGGGGGGGGGGGGGGGGGAG